ATTTTTATTTCTATAAATAATAAAAACATTGTTATTTACTATAAATTAAAATATTAATTAAAATTTTATAGAAAAAAATATATTGAATCCATTTGAATTTCTAAGTATGCAAATTCATAAATTTTAATTACTAAATAATATTCTATTTCTTTTTTATAAGTAATAATTAATTATTCTATTTCTAGTGTTTTATTTTCATAAACCAACAAAAATTAAAAATATTTTTTGATATAAATATAGATTAATAGATTTGACAAATCATTCATTTCCTTAATATTTATAAAATACTGATTTTACTGATTTTTTTTTTTAATTTTTGGATGGCCATTCATATATAACATTACTTATAGTTAAATAAACCTATATAATTTTGATTACTTGCATAACAATGGAATTGACATGGGTTCAAGCCTTACAAAGAGCTTAGTGAGTAAATATTTCTCAAATTTGTATTTAATAGAGGAGAGTATAAATGACAAGATTTGTATTTAATAAATGAGAATATAAATGACAATAAAGGTGATAATTAATAAACTTGATGTAAAATTTGAAATCTAAAATTAAAAGGAACAGTTAATCTATATCTACACTATATATAAAAATGTGAATGCAATATGAAACTTTTTTGGGTTAAAATTGTCCTCTATTTCTTTGTTTGAGAAAGGGTATAAAAGTCATTTTGTTATAATTTTAATTCTAGCTTTAATAGATACTAAAATGCCTATATTTGTGTATTTAATCCATCTTTAATTATAAAGGTTAAAATAATCACTTCAATTATTACTTTTCACCTCATTTAATCCCCTCTCATTAAGTCTTATATTTAAGATATTAAATCCCATTCTCTTATTAAATCCTATATTTTAAGTTATTTTCATTAATAAATGCTACTAATTAGATCTAAGTCAATATTTTTAACAATATAAACCTACATATTTTAAAACTAATTTGATCGTCCATTTTGAGTCAGTCAAACCGGTAAGATGTAAAATATAATGTAACCTTGTATTTTGATTGTTAGATTAGAATTAGGTTAAAGTCTATCGTATATATACATTACTATGAAAGGGAAGTGTGAGACTTTGGGAATGAGACAGATGGTTAAAGCTGAGAAGTGAAGAAGAAGAAGAAGAAGAAGAAGAAGAAGAAGAAGAAGAAACCACTACTGGTGGTTATCTCCATGTTCATCGTCACCATCGCTAAAACACCATTTGCCCTCTTCTTAGATCTCAGATCCCAGATCATTTGCTTCATTTTTCTATAAGATCGATGTTTAATCTCTCATCTCTTACATCATTCTTTTTATTTCTTTATTGGAGTTGCATTTGTTTTGCTATTACAACTTAAAAGAAATCATAAAAAAAGAGAAAACTCAAAATCAAAATGGAAAAACTAAGAACCCTTACTAATTTTGATCATTAGAAATAACTAAACAAGATTATGAGATACGAAAATTTCTTTTTCCAAATGTTCTATTTTTTTTTTAATTTTTATTTTAAAATAAATAAAAAAATTGGAATTAGTTTTAAAGCAACCCGATATCTATTAATCAAGTGAAACATTTTAATAGTTAAAACATTTGAGTTAGTAGTTCTCTGACCATTTCAATGATTTTTTTTTTTTTGTAAAATAATGGTTCATGGCCAAAGTGGAATCAATGACTTAACCGGTTCCTAGGCCAAACGGTTTGATCATCTAGTCTGGTCTAATTTTTAAAACAATGATTAAAATATTCATTTTTTAATTTAGTACCTATTTAATTGTAAGGTTTAAATTGTAAATTGAACTACTATTTTTCACCTCATTCAATTCTCTTTATTTAAATTTTACATTTTTTTTTGATAAATGAAAAGAAAAAAAAAAGATACACCAAAAAGATACAACAATAAAAAAATAAGAGTCTAGCCAAGCAGGTAAGCCTATCAATGATACTTGAAACTTCATAATTTGATCTAATTATCATATATTTGAATGAGGTGCTTATGTAATCGGATTTGGATTTTACAATCTGCATCTGATTAATAATAAAAAACAAACAAATATAAAAACAAAAAAATAAAAAATATATAAAGTTTATAGAAAATTCTGAATACATTATTTCGATAATTATCATTGTCTAGAATTGTCACATGTGAATGCAATGTGAAACTTTTTTTGGACTAAGATTACCCTCTACTTTGTTTGAGAAAAATATAAAAGCCATTTTATTACAACTTTAATGACTACTAAAATGCTCATAATTGTATATTTGGTCCACATCTAATGGTAAGGTTGAAAATATAACTTCAATTATTACTTCCCACCTCGTTTAATACATCTCATTAAGTCTTATACTTAAATTATTAACTCCCATTTTCTCTTATTAAATTAGATCTGTGTCATTATTTTTAATAATATAAACCCATATATTTTAAAATTGACTAAAAAACAAAACCATTTTTAATCAAGTGGTGGCTAAACAATTCAACTATCTAAATCAAAATTGATCAACCTACAAAGTCATAGTTATGTAATAAATTTTTTAAAATAGAAATAAATATAAAAATTTACAAAAAATGTAAAAAAATAGACACATTTATGATATTTTTATTAATAAATTTAAAAAATAAGTGTAATAAATAAGAATTATTTTTATTGGTAATGAAAATGACATACATAATTTAGAACTAATAAAAAATATAATTATTTTTCAGTTTAGCAAAAATCAATAGTTCAAATTTTGGGCCAAACATGTTAACCTTTAATGTCATGGATAAATAATAAAAGTTAATAAAATATAAAAATACATAAATGAAAAAAAATACATAAATTTTGAGAAAAAAAACATTTAGGCACATGTATAATATCATATATTTATCATATTAAACAAAATGTAAGTGTGACATATTAGAATTATTTTTACAGACAAAAATACAAAAAAGTTACAAAAAAAATTGAACACATCTATAATTCTATATTTACACCATTATTAAAAATATGAATTTTTGTGAAACTTTTTTTTGACTAAAATACTCATTTTTGAATTTAGTCCATATTCAATAATGAGTTAAATTATAAATTGAACTACTACTTTTTACCCTATTCAATTCCCTCATTTAATACATCTCATTAAGTCATATACTTAAATTATTAACTCCCATTTTCTCTTATTAAATTAGATTTGTGTCATTATTTTTAATAATATAAACCCATATATTTTAAAATTGACTAAAAAACAAAACCATTTTTAATCAAGTGGTGGCTAAACAATTCAACTATCTAAATCAAAATTGATCAACCTACAAAGTCATAGTTATGTAATAAATTTTTTAAAATAGAAATAAATATAAAAATTTACAAAAAATATAAAAAAAATAGATACATTTATGATATTTTTATTAATAAATTTAAAAAATAAGTGTAATAAACAAAAATTGTTTTTATTGGTAATGAAAATGACATACATAATTTAGAACTGACAAAAAATGAAATTATTTTTCAGTTTAGCAAAAATCAATAGTTCAAATTTTGGGCCAAACATGTTAACCTTTAATGTCATAGATAAATAATAAAAGTTAATAAAATATAAAAATACATAAATGAAAAAAAATACATAAATTTTGAGAAAAAAAAATATTTAGGCACATGTATAATATCATATATTTATCATATTAAACAAAATGTAAGTGTGACATATTAGAATTATTTTTACACACAAAAATACAAAAAAGTTACAAAAAAAAATTGAACACATCTATAATTCTATATTTACACCATTATTAAAAATATGAATTTGTGAAACTTTTTTTTTGACTAAAATACTCATTTTTGAATTTGGTCCATATTCAATTATGAGTTAAATTATAAATTGAACTACTACTTTTCACCCTATTCAATTCCCTCTATTTAAATTTTTTATTTTTTTATAAATGAACAAAAAAATTACACAAAAAAGATAAATATTACAAAGAGAAGAATCTAACCAATCTAGTAAGCATATCAATGATATTTGAATCTTCACAATTCGATCCGATTATCACATATTTGAATGAGGTGTTTATATAATCAGATTTGGATTTTCAATCCACATCCAATTAATAATAAAAAACAAAAAATATATAAAAGTTGTAAAAAAAATTGTATTACTATCATTATTATCATCTAAAATTTCTATGTATAAAATACATGCACACTTACTAATAGTTAAAAAAATGTGTTAAGACGATTAGTGAGAAGTGGGATTTGATAAGTTGAATGGCATAATTAATGACCATTTGAACTTTGAATTTCAAAAAATATGATTTGTGTCATTCAATAGTCAATAAAAATCGATACATAGATACCAACCAATACATATGAGCATGGAAGGAAGGAATGGTAGAATACTGAAAAAATATGCTACAAAGAACAAACACCGACAAGATCTTTCAATATCTTAAATTAATTTTCCCTTTTTTTTTTCTAGTTTCAAGAATTGAGCTAGGACATCTCTAACTACAAAATATCAATATGTACGAGTCTTAGATTATTATTATTATTATTATTATTTAAGTTTCAAGAATTGATGCAAAGACATTTCTAAGAATAAAGTTTCAAGAGTTGAGTCAGAACATCTCGAAGAAGGGCATTATTGGCCTTCAAAAGTGGCCAAAACTCGAGTATTTAGTGTATGGGTGGTTCAAATGCCAATACCTATCGTACGATATGTATGCATCGCTGCATATCAATGCTTTGAAGTTTGAACCTTACCTTTCAAAAGGCTTCTTCCATTGTTTCCACTACTTGAGAAAAAACCAAGCTGGAGAATGAAGAGGAGGAAAAAAAAAGAAAAAAAGAAAAAAAGAAAAGAAAATTTAGAACATCCTTAGTTCCCTTCTCTTTCCTTTATTGTTTGTTCTCCTTTCTTTTTGTCTCGTCTTTTTCAAGCCTTCAAGGGGGGAAAAAGACTTGACATATGAGGGAAAAAATGTGAAATTGGTTCTTGAAAATAGTCAAAGGAAAATAGAATATGACCTTCAATAGAAGAAAAATACGAGGAAAGCGAACGTAAAGTTCATCTATTAACACAAATGTTGAAACAGCATAGTGAAGCTCCCCTGTACAAATATGAGTGCCAGAAAGTTGGAGGGGCTCTTTCTTACCTCCTGAGAGGCTTATAAAGGACAACGGTAACATACTTAGACTGGAACCTGTGGGTCAATCCAAGAGCAACCAGAGACTGAGAAGCCCAACCTTTCTCTATGAAAAGGTGGTTGAGGACGACGTGCTGAGGCTTCGTTGGAGCTTCTGGTGGGTTCTGCATTCCAAGGACTGTCAGATGTAGCTGTGGTGGAACAACCACTGGCTCCTTGGCAAAGTCTTCATCCACCGGAAACTGCTGACTGTAGCTGGAGTCTGGTGATGGTGGGGCCTCAAACTCTACAATGCTTTCTGGATTTTCCGGCACATAGTCCTGCAAGAAAGAGAAGATCGTTTTTTTTTTAGTCAGTAATAGCTGAAATTTTATTAATATATACAAGTGCCAAGCACCCCAAAATCGGCCAAGCCAATTCAGACCCACTCATTTACACTGTATCACATCAACAAGAGATGAAGCCCAGTCAACAGCCATAGAGAGGGAAGAAAGCCAACAGCTGGCCCATGGTTTTCATGATGCCAAGGTGTGGCTAGGCGGCAGGGGTGTCATGTTGCTTAGTTGCCTTTGTGGGGCCGCCTAGGCAATGGGTTCTTTTTCCAAAAAAATAAAAAACCTTAAATCCTAGGATAATTCTCTATGTTCCATATAAACCTACAATCAATAATCTTTATAAAAAAAGTATGAATTTCATATTAAAATATAGAAATTCAACATAGAGAAGAAAAAGAAAGAAAAATTTTCAGAAAATGTAGGGGATAACCCCTTAATTTAGTGTAATAATGCCTATCTTATTATTATAATCTCAAAATATAAAGAACATAAAATAGTTAGATGTGCAGTTTAAGTGAGGGGCCCTCCATGGGTGTCCTGTCACCAAACGTCACTTAGTAGTGATTTCTTTTTAGTGTTGATAAGGAAACTTGAATGACCCTCAGTTTATGATGGTTCCCTTGCCTTTTGCATTCCAAGTTGTTTAGGGATTTTATATTGGCAGATTAGTGACAAGTTGAAAGTCAGGAATAGGAAGATTCGAAAAAATATTTTTTTTTAAGAAAATGAAACTCCATAGGCCTGTAGTTCTTCTCATGATTGCTATAAGGTAACTTTCACATTTTCAAAAAATAGTGAAGTTAATTGACGTTATATGTAGATCTGCCAAAACATATGGATTCTGGAAGCCATAAGGTCTTTTGCAGTTAATAGGAGCCAAAATAAAATACCCAGCAAACCCTTGCCATTCTCAGAACGGCAATTTTTTTTTTTTTGAAAATGTCAGTTTTTTATAGTGAACAATTCAAAATATCCAGATTGCACAAACTTATGTGGCAGGATACGGATTGAATTACTTACATTCACATCTAGGAGATTACATATGCAACCCGTATCATCAGCTACGTAAGGTAGTTCTGGAATGTATCTCCACTCGCCATCAATAATGAACTTGTACTGGTATATTCCTGATGGAAGGACCAACAGGAGAGAATAATCCTTACCCGATCTTTGCAGTTTCCTCCTGCACAAAAAAGTATAGACATAGTATGTGTTGAAGATGTTTAACATGAAAGTAGTTTCTGTAGGATCTAAAACAGTGTTTAGGGGTACAACTCAAGTTGGCCTGAGTTGGAATTTTACACTGGTTTGGGCTTGGCCCTTTGGGCCAGGCCCATTCAAATTTTGACAAGGGCCCACACAAGCCCGCCAAAGTTGCATTCCTACCACTGTTGCACGGATTCTCCTAAATGGACATGTCTGTGTCAGATTCCAACATTCAATGGATTCTTTAGTATATACTTCACAACATTTCCTCTTTATCTCCTAGCTTATTTGACACAAGTGGGGGTGCAAGTGGAACAGGCTGGGCTGGGTTTAAACTCAGTTTAGACCCAACCTAAGAGGCCTAAGCTCAAACCAAGCCTGAGGCCAAGCATGATCTGTTCAACCCAGGTAAAGCCACTGAAATTTGATGCACTCAGGTTGGGCTCGGGCCAGGGCCAGGCTCAGGTTGGTCAATCAGCTCACACTAAAATTTGATATAAATGTATGTATGTATGCATATATGTATTGTTTACCCAAAAAAATTTGTGTGTGTGCATATAAATGTTTGTCTATACATGCATATATGTATGTAGGTAGTTGGGCAGGGTTTGGGCTACCGAAGGGCCAGCCCGGGTCCAGCTTGAAAAATAAAAAGCCTTGAACTTTTGGGTCCAGGCCCAGCCCAAGGACCAAAAATCCAAGCCCAGCCCATGTATAATTGCAGGCTGGGTAAGTCTAGGTTTGGGATGGGGCATGGGCCCGTACAAGATGCAACATTTTAAACCCCCTTTTGCACGTATATAATGTTAGAATTCAAAAAACATAAAATATTTTAATCATATATACTTTTTCACAGACATGTCTGTGAGTCCTTATTCGACATATGTTGGATTCAGACTCCCATGTCCATGTCAATGCAACAATGATCTCAACTGCAGAAGACATCTCCTCTACTTTCACTAAGCAAGATCATTAAGGGGGGCAAAAAGAGAAACTTCAGCATACCTTGATGTCCAGTTGTCCCAAGACCCTTCCACAGAAACATCATTACCACCATAATTCCATGTGATCATTATGGGAATTCCTTGCTCAGGAGGATCTTGCTCATCAGGAGATTCATTCAGCCACATTTGATTGAAAACAGGTGGGGCATCAGCTCTCTGCAGAGGGGCTACAGGAATCTGTAAAAGCACATAAGCAGGTCAGTCTATCCATTCACAAGCTATCAATCAGATTTCATGTCAATATTCAAGATCAATAATCTCTATCCCCACATCTATACAGCAATACCTAAATTCCAAACACCTAGACTAATTGAAACCCCAGAAAATACAAAACAGCTAGGAAATCATCTTATTTAATCATTAAAAAAAAAGGTAAGTACAACAAAATCAACTCATAAATAAATTAAACAGAACCTTGGTTCTTGTTGACGAAGAAGAGGAAGGCAGTGGTGAGGGGAGTTCGCCGGAGAGGGAGAAGATGAATGGGGAGAGAGGGGAAGACCTGCAGCCCATAATGTGGATGGACCAGGCTCAGTCCCGTCGTATCACACGGGTGAATCCGGAAGATGATCCTTCTCTTGCCAACCGTCGGATGGAGTCTTCAGATTCAGCTGACAGCAAAGGAAAGCTTCAAATTTCAAATAAAGATCAAAACTGGGCGGGTGTCTCAGAAAACTGGTTAAAAGAAACTTTGATGGAATGTCTCCAGGAACTGGAGTTGCTGCCAGCTGGAGATTCTCTTTAATCGAAAAGGCCGACCGGTGGTGGGGTGTTGGCAAAAGATGGAGATAGAGGAGGGGTAGCTTTGGAAAAACAAATCTCGCTGAGAGTTCAAATAGGGGAAAATTCTGGGCAGAACCAACATATTACTGTTTGGCCCCATCCAGATTTGGTTCTGACCCAGAGAACACAGGTAAAAAATGGATCCTCTTCCCCCTCTGACCCAAACTGGCTCCAAATTGGTGCTCAACCATCAATAGAAGGTAGTAGAAGCCCTACTCAACGTTCAGACGGAAGAGGCATGCCTGAACAGAGAACACAGGCATCGGGGCTACGTTCATAAGGGCAAGATCAGTCGATGAAGACTCCTCCAGCATCGTGTGGCAGTGGAGATGGTACTCTAATCCTGGCGACTGTTCCTGCTCCAGAGGTGCTGCTGGCAGAAATAACTCCACTAGCAGTAATAAGAGATCAGGAAACTCAAGTTCCAGGGGCGATGCATGGCCCACAAGATGATGAAAACAAGGTACATCTTTTGGAGTGGGGGGGAGGAGAAATTGGTTTGGAGTTGACGGAAGGTCAAGAGGGCAGAAGGGTTGTTAGTGGGAAAGAGGGAGGCAAAGGAAAAGGGATGGAAGCCACCTCGGCGTGGGTGAATTCTAAGATCTTGGGATTGGGAAAGTTCTTGGGGGTATCAATTGTGGGCATGGAGAAAGAAATGATGAGTTATTTAGAAAAGATAGAATGGCGATGGTTAGAGGAAAAGGGTAAACTGAATGCAAAAAAAGGTGGAAATGGGGGAAAAACATGGAAATTATGAGGTTGGTCTGGGGCTTGAATGATAAGGCAGGTAAGGGGAGAGGGGGGAAGAAGGGTTAATGCTAGGGTGAGGGGGGTTTCTTGTCTCTCTATTTATGGATTTAAAAATTATTTCATGGAATGTGAGGGGGTTGAGGTCAGGCAAGAGAAGGATGGTGATTTGTGATTTTCTCAAAAAGTGGAAGTCAGATGTGGTGTTCTTCCAAGAAACTAAACTGGACTCAGTGGAGGCTGAAATAATTAGGAGTATTTGGGGTGACGATCAAGTGAGATGGGTAAGCTAGCGAGGGGAAGTGCTGGGAGTATCCTTACTCTCTGGGACAGATCAAAGGTGTAATCTTGTTTCTTCTCGAGTTGGTGATTTCTCAGTCTCGGTAATCTTGGAGTTTGAGGGAGGCTGTCAAGGGTAGTTTACTAATGTATACGATCCAACAAATAGTGTGGAGAGGGAGAGTTTATGGGAGGACCTTGCTGAAGCTAGAGGGGCACACTCCATTCCTTGGGTTATAGGTGGGGACTTTAATGTGGTTAGATTCTTGGAGGAAAGGAAGGGAGGGAATCGGTGTACAAGGGATATGAGAAGATTTGCAGATTTTGTGAATTGTTTTGACCTTATCGACCTTCCTCTATTGGGGGCTCAGTTTACCTGAACCAATAACCAAGGGTCCCCAGCATTGGTTAAGTTAGGCGGTGTTCGGAACCACTTAAATCTCGTGGATGGGACCGTTTTGGTCCCGTCCACGGGATTTGGTTGCGTTCGACTGGGTGTGGACAAGTCCCGTCCACACCCCAATTTCTCATCCATGGTAAAACCTTGTGGTTGGGGACCGTCCATACTTGATTTTTGATCCCCTACTTCACACTTTCCCTGAAAGGCTACCCTATTGTCTATTTCACATTTTAATATTTTTATCAATAAAATATTAATTATTTTACTTAATTTTTATTTTTTAAAATTTTAATGTTTTATCAATAAAATTATATTTAAAATATATTTTTTAAATTTTTAACTATTTTACTATTGTTTTTATAAAAAAATTAATATTTATTGGTTAATATTAATTCATTGATGCATTTTTTCAATATATTTATCATATAAAATGTAAAAATTAGATATTTATGATTAACTATGTAGATCAAGGTTTTCGAACCGCCGTTGACCTGGACGGTCGTACTGTTCAGCCTGGGAACCGTCCAGGCAAGCAGATCCATTTTACCCCAAACCCAGTTTTTTGGCTAAAATCCGTTGAAAAAGTCAACCCGTTGACCCGAGCGGTCAAACCATCAACTCATTCAACGATTTTTTACCGTTTTTTATTTTTAATTTTTTTAATTTGTTTGTAAGAATGGGCCCGTCCATTCGAATTGGATAGTCGAACCATCAACCTAGAAACCGGTGGCCAAAACGGTTCCATTTCCAAGTCATTTTTTAAAATGTTGGTGTAGATCATTCATAAAATGTACATAAGATACATGGAATCAAAAAAGTGTGGTGTGGACTGGTCCACACCACACTACAAAACGCCATTGTGGGTGTGGACTGGTCCAGTCCACAGTTTGTCCACAGTTTAGAACAGTTGTGGACTGTGGTGTGGTGTGGATTGGTCCCTACCACAGGGTGTGGTGTGGACCAGTCCACACCCACCAATTTCTCATCCACACTACAGAACACCCCCCTTAGATAGGTTTCTTATATCTCTGGAATGGGAGAATGCATTTAACCTTTCAAAACAAGTGGCCCTCCCAAGACCAATTTCGGACCATTCTCCTATTCAGCTGGTATGTGGTAAACAAGGTAAAATAATAAATCCCTTTCAAGATGGAAAATATGTGGTTTGAAGAGGTAGAGCTGGTTCCCCTTTTGAGCTCTAAATGGACTGATCTCCTGCTAGAGGGTACCAAGTTCTTTCAAATTTGCAAAAAATATCAAATTAGTTAAGGAGATCCTGAAATCTTGGAGGTTGGAGTTCTGTGGGGCATCAGAATCAAAGAAAAAAAGGTGTCTTGAAGTGATTAAAGATTTGGACTTGGCTGAGGAATACGAACCTCTAATAGAGGAAGAAAGGAAGAGAAGGTTGGAAGCAAAAATGACCATTGACAATTTGGCTTTTAAGGACAAATTAGAATGGAGGCAAAGGGCCAAGGTCAAATGGCTTAAGGAGTGGAACAGGAATTCTAGTTTTTTCTATAAGATGGCAGGTGCAAGAAATAGATTCAATCGGCTCGAGAGATTGGAATTTGAGGACCAAGTGGGAGAGAATGGAGCTGAGATGAAATTTATTGCCATCAAATATTTCTCAGAGTTGCTTAAGGAAAATTGAGCTAGAAGACCTTTCCCAGATGGTCTTGCTTTTAGGAAGACTTCTGAATCACAGCAAAGAGACTTGGAAGCCCCCCCCCCCCCTCTCAGAGGCTGTAATTTGGCAAGTAATTAAGAATATGAAAGTTGATAAGTCCCCAGGGCCGGATGGTCTCACTAGTCTTTTTTTATAAGAAGTGTTGGGAGGTGGTGAAAGAGGATCTGATGAAAGATTGAAAGTGTTTCAAGATTTCCACCAAACTGCAGCCCAGGAAAAAAGCCTAAATTCCACTTTCATTTCCTTAATTCCTAAGGTGGAAGGGGCCACTGACATCAAAGATTTCAGACCCATCAATTTGCTGAACAGTTTCTATAAAATTCTGGCAAAGGTCCTAGCAGAAAGATTGAAAATAATTCTGAGTATTGTGATTGCAAAGAATCAATTTGCATTTGTGCTGGGTAGACAGATGCTAGACAGTGTTCTGATGGAAAAATGAGCTGATAGACTCAATGAAAAGGGAGGGTATTTCAGGGATGGTTTGCAAACTGGATTTGGAGAAGGCCTATGACCATGTCAACTGGAAATGCTTAGATTTTGTTTTGGAGAAGATGAACTTTGGACAGAAATGGAGGAACTGGATCAAAGTATGTGTTTCTTCCCCCAAATTTGCAGTTCTAGTAAATGGAGAACTAGCTGACTTCTTTAAAAGCTCTAGAGGTCTCAGGCAAGGGGACACCCTTTCCCCTCTTCTGTTTATTTGTATAATGGAGATAGTCTTTATTTGTTAACTGAGTTGGTGAAGAGGGTTTGTGGAAGGGATTTGAGTCAGCTCCAGGAGGAGAAAAAGTTCAATTACTTCAGTATGCAAGATAACACCTTGTGTTTTATTGATGCGGATCTAGATCAACTGGAGGTCTTGCTTGGGGTGCTGAGTTGGTTTGAAGTGGTGACAAGCTTGAGAGTAAATTGGGCCAAGAGTAGAGTAATTCCAGTGGGGAAGATAGAGAATCTTGAAACTCTATCAGAAACTCTTGCATGTCGGATTGGTTTTTTGCCGACAATGTACCTAGGCCTCCCCTTGGGGCTAAGTGTTCCTCCTCCCTAATATGGGACCCGGTGGTGCAAAGATTAGAAAAGAAATTGGCTTCCTGGAATGCACTTTAATTGGGTAAGAAGGTCAGCAAATGGAATGGCTGACACTTTAGCTAAGCAAGGAGTTACTAGGGAGGCTTTGTTTTGGGCCTGTTTGTAAGTTTTTTATTTTCTTTTTCCATCCTTTTTGTGGGTGGTAAGTCTGTAATCTTTTTAATTATCTAATGAAAGTTACCATTTCCTATCCAAAAAAAAAAAAAATGGCTTCCTGGAAAGATTTGTTAACTGAGTTGGTGAAGAGGGTTTGTGGAAGGGATTTGAGTCAGCTCCAGGAGGAGAAAAAGTTCAATTACTTCAGTTTGCAGATAACACCTTGTGTTTTATTGATGCGGATCTAGATCAACTGGAGGTCTTGCTTGGGGTGCTGAGTTGGTTTGAAGTGGTGACAGGCTTGAGAGTAAATTGGGCCAAGAGTAGAGTAATTCCAGTGGGAAAGATAGAGAATCTTGAAACTCTATCAGAAGCTCTTGCATGTTAGATTGGTTTTTTGCCGACAATGTACCTAGGCCTCCCCTTGGGGGCTAAGTGTTCCTCCTCCCTAATATGGGAACCGGTGGTGGAAAGATTAGAAAAGAAATTGGCTTCCTGGAAAGCCAAATATCTTTCCTTGGGGGGTAGAATTACTCTCCTAAAAAGTTCTCTTTCTAATCTTCCCTCCTACTTCCTCTCCCTCTTCCCAATACCCACTAAAGTGGCTCATAAATTAGAAAGGCTGTAGAGGGATTTCCTTTGGAAAGGTTGGAAGGAGAAAAAGAAAATCCATCTGGTCAGTTGAAAACGGGTTTGTACTCCAAAGGAAAAAGGTGGTTTGGGGGTGAGAAGCCTGAAAACTGTTAACAAAGCTTTAATGGACAAATGGATTTAGAGGTTTGCTAGAGAAAGGGTTAGTTGGTTGCTGCTCCCTGGAATGCCATCCATGACATTCTTCCTTTGTTTCTTCCCTACATAAGGTATGACTTGGCTTTGGGTCAGAAAATTAGATTCTGGGAGGACATTTGGATCGGCAATGCCCCCCTTTCTAAGGTTTTCCCTTCCCTCTTTGCTCTTTCTAGTCTCAAAGGAAAACCTATTTGTGAATTTATCAGTACATCCTGGACAAAATTTCACAGAAAAACCACTTGGGTTTACAGGCAAAGGATTAGGGAAGTTGAAATGATAACAAGGGAACTAAGTGTTACTTTTAAATGGGTGAGAAGAACTGCAAATGCCATGGCAGATACTTTAGCTAAACAGGGGGCAAACAGGCAGCACTTATTTTGGGCTAAATTGTAAGGTTGATTTTGGGGGATTGCAACTCTAGTTGTATTTGTTTACTCGTATGAGTGTGGGTAAACTACCCACAAATTTGTAAGCTCAAATTTCACACTGTGATTAATAAAACTTACCTTGGCTGATAAAAATAATATATATATATATATATATATATATATATATATATATATATATCCTCTTCCCTTTCAAACCTGAGTTGACATTTGGGTCTTACTAGAAATCTGAGAGAATCTGAAATTTCAGTATCTTTACTTTGGTTAACTTGTTGAATTCAATGGTCTTAGGGGATAGTGGGTCAGATTCTAGAGTGCGGGTACTTAGTCAGGCAGGGTCCTTCTCTTGCAAGTCCTTTTTGAATTCTCTTGTTGCTACCTCCTCCTCTCTTTCTTTCCCTGCCAAGGAGATTTGGTTTCAGCCCATCCCTCCTAAAGTCAGTGCTTTCTGTTGGGAGTGTTCCATGGCACCATTAATACCTGTGATCTGCTTCAGAGGAAAAGACCAAATTGGTGGTTGTCCCCAAACTGGTGCTCCTTATGTAAGCTGCATGGTGAGACTATATTCATCTTTTAATCTCCTGTCCTTTTGCTAACTATATTTAGGAGTGGTTTTCCTCTCTGTTTGGCTGCACTTGGACTCCCCCTAATAATCTGGAAGGCTTCTTTAGTTCTCACTAGAGCAGCAGTAGCTTGGACAATTTGGGAAAAAAGAAACCTAAGAATTTTTTATGACAAGGAAAGAAGAAAAGAAACTGTGATTGAAGTGATAACTTTAAGGGTGGCACATTGGGTGAAAACCTTAAAGCTGTTTGCTGATTTTAGGATATAAGATTTCTTAAGATCATGGGGAACAATTGCTAACACTGCATCCGGAAGAGATCTAGTACATGAGGTCTGGTCTCCTCCAGCTACTGGGTGGAAGAAATTAAATTTTGATGGTAGCTGTTTGGGAAATCGTGGTCCATTGGGTATTGGTGGGGTAATAAGGGAAGAGAATGGAAATATTTTGATCACGTTCTCACTTCTCAGGTCCTGTTCAGCATGATGTGGTGAGATCAGAGTTGATGGCAGCAGTGTATGGAGTAGGAAAAGCTATAGAAATGGGGATTCACAGACTGATTATTATTGAAGGAGATTCAAAAATTGTTGTGAATTGGATGAAGAAGGGTGAAGGAGTAATATGGAAGCTAAGGATTGAGCTCAGGTGCTTCAAGCATATATCTAGAGACATGTTGATCTAAATAAGGTGGATTAGGAGATCAGCTAACAGCATGGCTGCTGGCCTAGCTAAACAAGGGGTTCAAACACAATCTATGTTCTGGGCTGTTTTGTAATTAGTGGGATAAATTATTTTGGGCTTCTTGTTTCTGCCCACAACTTGTTGTATACTTGTATATGCTTTTTTAATCTAATGAATCAATTTTTGTGTTGCTGATAAAAAATACTTATTATAATAGTATAATTTTTTAAAATAATGAAATTAATATATTTAAAAGTTTTTTATCTTTTAGGTGTGATAATTTGCCACATTTTTAGAGGAAATTCAATGTTATTAATAAAGAGACTTGCTATTGTTTCAAATAATATGTATGCTGAATGGTATATAAAACTAGGGAACTAGAAACAAGTTAATTATTTATATAAAATTTTTACCGTCTAGGTGCCGCCTAGGCACCCACCTAGGCAACTAGGCAGCCTAATGTTGCCCCACCTGGGCATCACCTAGCTACATAGGCAGCAGAATAAAGGAAAAAAATATAAATTCTAGATTATTTTATAATTGTAAATAACAATTAGAATGCATGTGAAAAAATAGCAATTATCTTTACTAATAACACCCATTTTCCTCTCAAAACATAGCAAATCAGTGTATCTAAAAGACAATAGCACTCTTAATCAATTAATTCCAATATTTCGAAACCAACATATCATAAGTATTTAATAGATCAATTGCATGTCAAAAAATTATTAGTAACTAAAGAAGGCTACAATTTTATACTAATAAAGAAATAACAGAGTAACAAAAAGGGAAAAAGAACAAGGGCAGCAAATGAGCAACAGTGAATCACGCAAATGGCAATGAAGACAAATGCACATTTATCCATTTGATACCATGTCGTACACATACTACCACACAATGAGAAAAAAAGTAGCTAAGAAAAGGGGAAAAAGTCATATCCTATTGCATCTTTCCCACAATTAACATGCCCAAGATTTTTCCAAAAGTTGTTTTCAATCCCTTAGACTTCAATCACAAGGAACTGAGTAATCCTATTTCAATATCCAAATTATAGAATCCCAGCCACCATAAAACTTGAAAATGCCAAAAGCATATAGTTTTCATCTTTTAGAATGCATATCTTAGATGAACTTGAAATGGTATTTGCATGAATTTTACTAATAAGGTGAACTAACACTGCCAAGACGTATCAGAGCCAAATATTTCATCAAACTCCAGTGTGACGTTTCTAGATTTCCTTTTTATTTTTCCCTCATCAAGCAACCCATGTTGTAAAAGGCACACCGAGCTGAAGGTGATGCTCCTTTTGTGGGTTATGTCTCGCATAGCTTGTTGGTCTTTTTCGATGGATTAATGCATCAAGTTTTTTTCTTTTCCCTTTCCCAATAATTGGCACCTCACTTCGTTCAGGTGCACACCTCACCTTGTGCCTTATGTCTCAAGCTCTTCGAACTCCTTGTGCTTCAGTTGTGCTTCTTACACTGCACGGAACTTCCCCTTCTCCAGTTAACAAGTTGTATGTGGAAAATATGCAGAAATACAAACAAGACAATTACATACTGCATTATTATTGGTGTTCAAGTACTATGCAATAATGGAAAAAGCTTCTTATTATTAAATATTAATGGTTTGCCTTTATCTGATATATATACATTGAAGTTCTCGTGTTCTATGGATTCTAACAATACTTCACACATAATGCATCACCAACCAACAAGTGAGAAATTGAAGATCCTAACAAGTATTGACTCATCAAGCCTAAAATTACAGGAAAATGAATAAAATCCACCAACCCCTCAACCATAAATTAACAGAACACATCAGTTCCAAGACCACAGTAGCCTAGCCACACATCAATTGAATAAAATAACCAATTTATCTATCAATCACATAAATTGAAATCCATAAACAGAACCAATGAAAAACGGAGAAAAAAAAGTAAAGAATACATCAAATCCTACAATAATCAAAGGCGGAAATGGAGAGATTACCTGGGGAGCAAACATAAGCGGAGATCGAGACCGACCAGGGCTTTGGGGCGGTGAGTTCCCCATCGAATCCAACGAATTCACACGCACCGGGCGGTCAGAGTTGGCTGGGAAATCACTGCGAAAGCCCGTTTCCCCATCAGATCGTACCGACGGATCGTCGCCGCCATTCTCCCCCTCTTCTCTCCCATTTGCATTCCCCATCTCTCAGAAGCTTCTCACAGATCTACAAATCAGAACTGCGGGAAGAGAAGACCTAGACAAAAAAATAACGCTGGACGAGTGTTCAGAAAGTGCCACCAAACGCTGTCCTTATTTACGAATTTTGACACTGAAGAACTGTTCTACAGAGTACAAGCGGGGAGAAGAAAACAGAGGAAGGTGGTCAGGTGGTGGCGATGGCCAGTTCTCAGTGATGGTGGTGGTTATGTCAGGAAAACGGAAGAGGGTACACGGAAATGCCACCTCTCTTGCCTTTATTTACGGAGGTTGACACTGCAACGTGCCGGAGATCGGTTCCGGGAGGGAAGGATCGGGAGCGGTTCCAAGATGGACGGTTCCTATCTTTTGCAGGGGAGAAGGGAGCAGGAGGAGAGAAGAAGACGAACTGATTTGAGGAGGGGGTTTATGAAGGCGTGGGTTTGCACGTGTTAATTGACACGTGTAGGACCAAGCGGGACCTTCATTGGGTGGGTTTGTTTTGTTTTGAGAAGCTTTTTCGGGTTGCCGAGTGGCGTTAGTTGCATGACAGGCACGTGCTGTTGGAACTCGGAACCCTTGAGGCTTTGTGGATAAGATTGTAAATTCAAATGACGCAAATGCCCCCGAATCTTATCAATCAGTAAAATGCGCTCAAATGACGAGAATGCCCAGAATCTTTAACTCATTGACGGATCAGTCCATACTAGGATAACGATTTCTGACAATTTATGAAAACGACAGGAGAATTTTGTTCTAGACGGTCCACCCCTTCTAGACCAACCAGCGGCCAGTACTGGACCGGCCTTGTGAACCAGTATTAAAATGTCAAAGTTTAGCATTATAGTTAAAATGCAGTCCATATGAGCTGCTTTTCAAATTTTTTGTTTTTTATTTAAAGAAAATCAACTATGGGGCTATTTAAATACGCCCAAAATTGATTAATTTTTATTAATAAAGTTAAAGTATCAATACTCTCAATATGTAAAATTTACGGAAATTAATTTATGTTTTGACTATTTTAGCTTTGATATTTTATCAAATCTAATTTCACGTCATAACTCTTGATTTAAAACATTTAAAATCTAAATAATACATCAATGGCCTTCAAAATTGATACGATATGTCTCACATTGAGTGTCTGTTTGGCATTGATGTCGTTGTTCCAGAAAATAGTGATACATCAGCATCACGTTGGAAAAAATGGTGCTCTTGTTTGGAATTGTTTTTTCATAAAAAACAATACTCCAAGCCACACCTTGGATATCGAAAAGGTGTGGTTTGGAGCAACACTGAATTCGATATTTTCTTAGATTGGAGCTCGTTGCTGCCAATGAGGATATGATGTAGCAGTGACGTGGACTATAATGGGTACCAATGCTGAGCACTAGTACCAAACAAAAAGTGTTATTGTTCAAAGAAACGTCCTACTTGACAGAAACGTTTTCAAACAAAAAAAAAAAAACACTATTTTCTCAAAACATAATATTGTATCTCATATAATGAATATATCACATCGATATTTTGAACCTTACTAATTAAATATATTTACTCCCTTATAAAACGCGGGCATCTTTTAACATGACTCTCTCATAATTACTTGAAAAATACAGACTAATTTTGTATCGACAACATAGGTATATATATAATATAGATTGATCAGTTTTAACGTGGTTCAATTGATCCACCGGTCGAACCAGAATGGTTCGTCCTACCTCTTTATTGGACCTTGGACCGACGTGAGGTACGGCCCTGTGAAACTTCTTTTTCATCTTTGTCGTGGGAATCACCTCTTTCACTTGACTATCGTAGAAAGTACTCCTGCAGAAAGCAATAGTTATCTGGGTCATTAATGAACGCTTTGGATAACTTTTTTCCAAATATTTTAAATGGAGGATGAGATTGACATGCAAGGAAAAAGGTGTCGAGCCTATCTCTACTCTTCCCTTCATTATTTCTCCCCAAAACAAATAAAGATCGACCACTGGATACCCTATTTTACTCCTCACATTATCCTGGTTTTGTTCTTTCTTTTGTTTGCAATTATATTCTAATATTGGAAACATAAGACTTTTGTCCTATTGCCACGTGGCAACCCCAAATGGCTCTGAAATGTTTCAATCATTCTTTCTTTCATGTAGGGAGCCCACCGGGTGTCAAATCCATATCATTCATACGTGTATAGGGGACCGACCACTCGACCAGGGACCCACTTCAAGAATCTCCCGCCAGAAGTTGTGGATCAAACCATATAATAGAACAAGAAAATGTTTCATTCCCATATGATGTTGTGACCATGAGAAACCCACCCCAAATAGCTGGAATTAAGGCTGAGTTGAGTTGGGGTTCTGAATGAGAATATTGTCTGTCTATGCTGGACATGGAAGTCCAACAGTATTGGATTCGGATGAATATATAGTAAGTAAGAATGGTTAAAGGGCTAGAGTAGTAAATTGGCAGCAAAGGTTGGCATCTTTTGACCCTAAAAGCAATTGGATGGTTTGGATTTCTTAGGGCTGTTTATGGGTCGGGTTGGGTCGATTTACTGAGATTTTTCCAACTGATCCGACCTAGTCGGGTTATCTGAAATTGAAAACGAAATCGATCCTGTGTTAAGCAAAATCAACCTGGTCGGCTTGAGTTGGGTTGGGTCGATTTCAGCTCTAAGTTCAACCATGGTAATAAATTGAAATTTCAAAATTTTGATACTTGAGAGTCAAATTGTATTAGAGATTGTGCTTGAGTTGAGGGGCTAAGGGGGGCGGACCAAGTTAGAATAGAAGTTATCAAGAAAATAGAAAGTCAAACTGTATTAAAGAAAGAAGATTGAAATTTGTATATTTCAAGAAACCTTCTAATCTAAGTAAAAAAGGACACCTAATTCTAATTGTAATTGGTTGCCTATTTGGTGTAAAAGACCATAAAAACTAGGATCCTTTAATTCTTTTCTTTAAACTTTTCCAAAAAAAATTCCTTGTCTAATTGTCTTATAATACTTGCCATTAATGTCATTCCTAAATAGAAGACTAGAAATTAAGTTAGGTTGTAACTAGGATAGAGACAACTTAGTTAAGTAGGAACTAAGTAGGTTGTGACTACTAACTAGGAACTAACTACTAAGTCGGTTTCGGTTCGGGTTGATTTCGATTTTCACACATGAAAACCGATCCGAACCATCGGTTTATGATTTTTTACAACCCGAAACCGACTGTGCTGAAGAAAACCCGACCGACTCGGGTTGGGTTGGTCCGGGTTAGTCGGTTTGGTCGGGTTGGGTCTTCTTATGAACAGCCCTAGGATTTCTTATATTCATTTCTATTGTTGTCCTACTTGGACTATGTATAACGATTCTAATGTTTCTTCATAAATGAATTGCTTTACTATTGAGGGAGGAGTAAACCTATATATATATATATACATCTTTAGAATTGTTTTTTATATAAATTAAGATAGGGAAATTATAGCAATTAGTTTGGAGGGAGATGCTATGTATTTTGTGGAGAGGGTGTTGTTATTTTGCTTTGATTGTAATTCACTGGTGATCTGCATTATGTTCTATGGGCCTAAATGGGGATCTGCATTGAGTCTAGACTGAAACCTTTTCAAGTTCTATCAAATTATTGGTTGTTGGATGATAGGTGTATAGATATTTTTAGGGATGGATGGGGATATCAAATTAAGGGGTATATACAGGATTCAGGATCAATCTCAAATTGAATAGAATAAAGAAAGACTTGAAAGTTGGAATTGGACATTGATGATGGAAATGTGAATTTGAGTGGATTTGTAACAAATGGAAAATTCTAAAAGAATTCAAAAGAATGTGTGGAAGCAGAACCTAAGAAGGGGAGAAACTTTTAAATGTCTCGGAGTCTTTTTTGAGGCAAAAATGGAGACAACCTTGGTTAAATGAAGGAGATGGAAATACAAGTCTTTTCAGCTGTCTTATGTGATTAGACAAAGAAGAAATATGATTGAATACGTCAAGAATGAGGAGGGTGCATAAGTTAGCCGTCATGAGAAAATTTCTAATATTTCTGTCCAATACTTTCAAAATCTGTACTAGTCAAAAGGATGTAGTGGGCTGGAACAAGTTTCTAATTTATTTGGAATCTGCCATTTTAATGGAAGAGAATAAATAAAGTCATTAAAGATTTAGATTTAAGTGTCATTTTGTTGCTCTAATATATAATGTCTAAAAATCAAAAAAGCTCTAAAAGAAAGTACTTTGAAATTTGGTGCTTTTTGTTTTATCTAATGTTGTTTTGAAATCTGATGTTGAATTTTGAAAATGGTTACTTTATCATTTTGTCCCCGTAGTTGATTATGAGAATGGATTTACGTTAATGATAATTATCATTATTAATAATAAAATATTAAAATTTTCGTAAAATTTATATAAAACAACAACATAAAATATTAATAAAATAGCATAAAAATAATAAAATATAAAATAATAATTAATCATAATAAAATAATGAAATATTATCAACATGATATTAATATTAATATTGTATTATTTTAAAACTAAAATATGTAAATATTATATTTTTCCAATAATATTATTTAGTACTATGAATTATAATAACATGATTAAAAAATAATATTATTAAATTAAAATAAAATCATATAAAAACAAAATAATATTAAAACAACAATAAAGTAATAACAAAATAAGAATAAACTAATAAAATAATAAAACATGATAAATCAAATACTAAAATCTTATTGAATAATTTTATTTAATATATTCATATTATAATATTATTTTATTTTAAATTCATGTTATTATAAAAACAATACTAAAATAATATTTCAGTATTGTTTGTTTATAAAATCTTAATAAAGTATAGCAAGAGTGTTTTACTAATAATAGATGATGAACAAAATACGTGAAAGGCATTTTGAGGACAAAAAATAAAAATAAAAAATGTTATCAGATCTGATGTTTGAAGTCTAAAAAATAAAAAAAAGTATTAAAAAAATAACTTGAAGTTAAGAAATATTGTTTTTAAGACATCAAAGGTTGAGAACAGACCAAACAAAACAAGGCCTTATTGGTATCAATGTATTTTGTTTTTAGATTTGTTTGAATTTTCCATGTTTATCTTAATTTTTCCCTATATCCATGCATATCCAAAGCATATCCTAATACATCTTTTGAAGTTGCTTTTCATACTCTTTGCATTTCCCATACCTTGTACCTTTGATATTGTAAAATGATTAAGATAAGCATGCATATTGTAGGAAAAACCACATAAATCTTAAAAATATATCAATAACACAAGAGTTTGACTATGATGCCAAAAAGACATGATACTAGAAAAACTTATAACCAATCAACCAATATCATAAAAATGGTAACCAATCAGGTGGGCTTTCATCAAAATTCATGAGGGTTTTGATTGGTCAAAGCCTTTTCGATATCATGTCTTTCTGGCATTATAGATTTTTCCTAACACAAATCCTAAAGTTCATTTGACTATAAGGTATAAACACATAAGAAACACATACTTTATCAGATTGACAGAAAATAATATAATCAACACACTGGACATGAACCTGTTACAATTTTCATTTGTATGTAAAATACACATATATACATGATTATGAAGATACATGCAAAAATTTAAAAGCATAAAATTTTAATATAGAATTTTGTTTAGATATTTATCAATTGTGTTGATTGGTTGGAGTATCATCCTCCTTAGCCCCCAAACCTGTTTGCCATATCATTTTATACTTTAATTACTCAAATATCATATCATATATACTTCAAATCTTTGCTAGAGGGTGCTGCAAGTATACATGTGAATATTTGGACATGAGAGTGGAGCTCAAAAAGAAGATAAAGGGTCCAAGTGTCCAACTATGATACCTAGAAAGCATGACACTAGAAAATTCTTGCAAGAGAGGAAAGAAAAATGCTGCTCAATCTTCAAAGTATTTCACATTCAAGTAATGGGAATGGAAAAGGGAGAAAAGGTTGCTGCTCAAAGAGCTGAAGTGTTCCAAGTCAAAGAAGAGTAAGCCAAATGCAAGAAAATCTCCAAGCTTAAGTCCTACATCCTAAGCATCCCAAGTTGTGCAAATCATTATTCAAGTGCTTCCAAAATGTTTACATCTTTCATGAGGCATGCAAGAGAAGCAAAAAAGACTTGCTGCTCATGTGCAAAAGCAATCAAAACTCAAAAGAGAACAAGCAGGATGCACAAGAAGCTCTCAATTGTTAAATCTGACTTCTTAGAGTCATTTCATGTAAGTCAGCTCATATGCATGAAGAAAGTCTCAAACAAAGTTAATTTGAACCTTAGAAGGTTGCCCTAATTTCCCTTGACCTTGGAACATGATTGGATTGGGCTTAAAAATGATTTGGATTGGTTTTAGGTAGGAAAAAAAAGTGATAATTTTTCAAATTCTAGATGTCATGAATCGATTCATGGTATGATGAGTCGTCTCCTTAGCTCTAGAGATGACTCCAGACTAATGAGGAGTCAACTCCTACAATGCATTTTTTTTCAAACATTTAAAAGTAATTATTATTGGCCTGTTTTAAACGTTCTAAAAGGCATTTAATGTCTTGTACTTGCCTCTAAGGCTCAGTTTGGAAGGAGTACAAATACAAATATGGAGAATGCAAAACCTTGTATTTTATATTATTTTGTATGTATTTATACTCTTTCCAAACTGAGCCTAATGGTCAAATTTGAGACTTCTCTATAAAAAGCCCATTTGAACTAATTGAAAAAATGATTTTCCCTGGGGCAATGATAAGGAAAACCCAAACCAGGGGTTCTGTTCTGTGTCACTGTGTGAGCTTGAACCAAAATCTTCTGAGATTATCTTAAATCTCAACTAATCCTAAGGAATAATTGGTTAAAAGAAACAGCTCTATTGGAAAATCTTAATGAAATCTTAAAGGCTAAGGCAAGAGGGAAAATTTTGGGAAAAATTAATTTGAATCTGAGCTAAAATTCTAAAATACTTGGAAGAGCCTTGAAGCCCAAGTTCTTGCATATGGTGTTGAATAGGATTGCACTACAATGCTAATATCTATCCTAAGGAGATTTTTTTTTTGTGCTTTTATTATTGTATCAGGCTATCTAGGGTCATATTATGTGCTTAACTATTGAAATATCTGATGTAATTTGGTGTGACCAACTCTATTAAGGCTGCATTTGGCATTCCTTATTTTAAGGACTTACCTCCTTTTGCTATTAAAAACTCGGTTTCATAGGGGCATTTTAACTGCAAAAAGGAGATAAGTCATTAAAATAAGGAATGCCAAAGACAGCCTAAATATGATCAGGTTGATGTAACTGGTACAGTAAAAACCAATTGGTTGTAGTCCTTAGGTGAGAAGGGCAGAACAACGGTAAGAGTTTTGCTATTAGCCAAGAAACTAGTTGGTTAGTGAAAAATTCCAAGGGGGTTCCTTGGGGAGTGAATGTAGGAAAGGGCACTAGAAATCCTTGTGTCTCTCTTGTTTATTTTATTCTTGATTGCTCTTTTACTTTGCTAGATCTATTTCATTTAACATCAAGCAAGTTACCTTTGTCAACAAGCATTTGTTAGAGACGCGTTAATAAAAGACTGAAAACACCTTCAACAACGTATACTCTAGGTAATATTATCAAAGAATGCTCTATTGATTGATACAACTTTCATATGTCTAGAAATTTAGAAGATCTCAGGAAGTTTAATGTTCTAAGAGTGGCTTAAATTGATTACATCTCATTAAGCTCTCCTCATTTTTCACAAAGTATAGTGAATTGAGAAACTCCTTGTGAAGAATTCAAAATAGAATAGGTTTATGATAAAATCAAAATTAGTTCACCCCTCAATTCACCCCCTCTTGGATTGCTTTTCTATGCAACAGGAAGGTCACTTCACTTAAGGGCCCGGCTGCATTGAAGATTCAGCTAAGCTGGTTCGACTTCTTTGGAGCACTCCAAATAAACTACTCAAAGAGGCTGAAGTGGATGGCATTCCAAATAAACTACTTTAGCCTATTTGAGCTGTGGATTTTTCACCAGACATAGTTTACAGACTGTCCGTTTGGGGCCCACCTCAGAAAGTCATAAGCCTCTGTGCTTAGCCTTCCCAAACAGGAACTAAATATGATAGTATAGGTAGATTATGTCAGTTGAGCCAGCCCATGCCGAACTACTTAATTAGACTGGGCTGGGATTGACCAAAGTCTAACTTGGAACTTTCCCAGCTTGGCTGATTGTCATATCTACCTGGTCTCCATTGATCATAGCTTCTCTTATGTACAAATAATCAAAGCCAGCTTTCACTATTGGATCTTGAATTCAAGTATTAGCACCATGATATCAAGGAAGAAAAGCAGCCAATGGTAAGTTCCAGGAAATCACTCTGATCCAGAGAACAGCTTAGCAATTACACCTCATAATGAACATTGTTATCACTGTCTGATGCTACACTAAATGGCTTTGGTGTAAAACAAATTGTAATGCATTGCCGTGATGTATGTATATGTACATTGCATTGGCAATTTCAGAACGTTATCAGCACTAGCTCTAATTCTCTCCAGTGGATGAAATTCACAACCACCTGGAAATAAATAAGAAAAAACTGCATTCACCCATTGAAGTGCTAAATCAAGACAATCACATATATTTAGACTGCTTTTGGCTGGATCTGCTCAAAGTCAAAAACTTCAAACATGAGGCGCCGGACATCTGGCTTCCCATATACAGTGTATGAAAGCCCATGGATGGCTTGTTGAACTGCTGTTGTAGCTGGGTTCCTTAGTCTTCTATTGTGTTCATATGAGTCCTGGACTTGTTCACCATATATGATGAAGCGATGGAGGTACTTGTCCCTAAGGTACCTCCCGCAGAACTTGTTCATCAGAAGGCGACGATGCTTCTCTTGTAACCATTTTCCAGGAGCATCAAGATGCTTCATGAGCAACCTCTCAGCCATCACAAGATCCTAGAGTAAAGGAAAACATCAAATTGAAGCCTCAGAAAAATTTGCAGTCCATAATGATGTACACATAACCGTAACTACCACTTTCTTGACATAATTATACCTTATTCCACTCTTCCAGTGGGAGACAAGAAGGATAGGAAAAAACATACAGGATCCTGGACTCAGTTGAGTCAGAATCACTTTTTCACCTAAGCTACAAAGAACAGAAATTGTAGTTCCCCAAGACCCAAGCCTAAGAAACAAAGCAACCAATTTTTTTCCCAAGTAAATAATTTACAAACCATGAAGATATAGTGGATGATGGACCAGTAACTGTGACCTCAACACCATAAAGATAAAATTTCACATTGTAAGAGCGAAGTTGATTGATGGAATGGGGCAATGTTTCAAAACACAACATTTACATATGTAGCTTAAAACTGTTGCTAAATGAAGGGAAGTAACTGCAGAACCAAAGGAAGAAGGTAATACCTGAATCTTTTGGCCAACATATTCTAGGCGTTCAAAACAAAACCTTGGATGCTCAAACTTGTATTTTGATGGATGCAAGAAACACAGCTGCATTTCAGTGATAATGAAAGATATTTCAGGACAGAAAAACATTTATTGAATTTATAAATGTTGAATTCTTAGATGCAGTGTAATTGAAAGATAAGTATGATAAAATCACAATCAAAAGAAGCCAAAGAAAAGATTGAAGCTCCAACTTAATTCCATCAAACATGAAATTACTGAACAATTTTAAGGAAGAACAACGTAGAATGTAGTGAAGAGTGTCATTGTAATTTGGTCCCAGGACTTCAAGAAGTGCTTTAAGGAAATCTCTGCAACAAAGGAAAAGTTTGTAAGAACATTTTTCAGAGAAGGGGGCAAACAGCCCTGACTTCTCTTCCATCATTTCAATTCTCTCTTCCTCTCTCTTCCTTTAAACAAGTTTTTGATCAATATTCCTTTAAACAAGTTCTCACATCTAAACTTAGTCTAATACCAAAAAGGAACACTCAGTCACTTCCTCACTTCAGTAAGCCTATTGAATAATGTAGAATACAAGGATTAAAGCCTCAGGAAATACCAAGTAGCATTTCTTCAACTCATCTGATGATGGTAGTGTTAGCATTAAACAAAGCTGAATGGCAAAACAGGATTTATGTAGCCGACCCCATATAGTTGGGGCGTTCCTGTTGCCTAAATGATGGTAGTGTACTAGTTTTATGAATATTGTATTGGATGCACAGGTATCAGCTAAATGACAATATAGGTCAATTTCAAATGTTCTCGAGTCTATCGAATGCAAAATTCATAAATCCTAGTTAGCTAATAGCAACCCCACTTGCACTGTACATAATAAGATGCTTCAAATATTAACCTTGACATTCGTGTAAAATTTACAAGGACTTGATCAAGAAAATACTCTTGACCAGCCATTAGCCATCATGTCCCAATCCTTCTTTCTTTTCTTTTCTTTTCTTTCCTTCTTTCTAGATTAATTTTTGATAAAGAAGTGTGTATATTACAGCATGTACCACACAACCCTTCTAATAGTTTAGGCTAGCAAGTGCTACCTAATCATTGTACAAGCATTCATCTCATATGTGACTGCAGGAAAAATGATCACCCAAAATAGTTCCCTTCTATTTACCTCGTGCCTAGCTAGAACATCAGCTAGACTGTTGGCTGATCTCTGTACACTGTACCCATAAGAAATTCTTCTCAACTCCCTAACCAAATGTAGTATCTCTCACTTTGTGCCTGCCCAAGAGCCCTAGTCATTGTTTCTGAACCAGCTCAAAACTGCTCTTGAAGGTCTTTATAACCTAGAGTTTTTGCCAACTTGAATCCTTATAGAACAGTCAATAATTCTACCATTGTTGAGTTACCATGGTCTATAGGCTCTGAATAGAAAGCTATTAGGCTTCTTTGACTGTTACTGAATACACCTCCTACTTCCACCGACCTGGGTTGCCTAAGCAAGATCCATGAAAGTTAAGTTCGATAAGATGGTGGCTGTTGGAATCTTTCTGATAGCAAGTTCTATGTGTATCAAAAAAGTACAACTTGCTGCTAGCCCTGAATAACATTGAGCATATCAAAAGAATGAAGATTTATTCATAAAAAAAAAAAAAAAATCTTTAAATTTTAGGAGCTTAATTATGGCAGATTCTTCCTGGGGCACTAAGCTGGACCATTTGGCTGGAAATAACAACAGAAGAAATTTGAAGGAAGTAAAAGGGAGTTTATGATTCCTTTTGTGGATTTTGTAAATGAATGAAAAGTAGAAATATCAAAGCATGATCATAGTTATCAAGGTGACACCTAGGCGACAAGGTGCCCTTTGAGGCTCACCTCGCCTAATCACCAAGCAGTTTTGTACTTTCTATTATAAAATACTTTTCTATTCTTTATTTTTTGAGATTAGATTTATAAAATAGACACTATTAAACTAAAATATTCATTTTGTGTGTTTATATACCAATTTCTTTTTATTATTTTCTTATTTTTTAGGGTTTAATCAACACGAACATTGCTAAATGTTGTAATGAACCCTCAAAGATCTCAAATAAGGATTCAGCCCCTATATTTTTTTAATTTTCTTTTCCTTCATTTTCTTCTCATGAATATGTTGATTTTCTATACTTTAACATGAACTTTGTACTTTTCTTATAAAAATTATGAATAATTATCAAGGAAATATGGTTATGGTTCCTAGAGAACTACCTTTTTTACATAAAAAAATCCTTCGCCTAGGCGACTAGGCTACACCAGCGACAAGGCGCCCCCTATTGCCTAGCCTTGCTTTGGCGCCTTGAAATCTATGAGCATGATATAAGCATATTTAATAAAATACCCATGCCTATATCTGTGTCCATGTTGCTATCCATATCTAGGCATCATAAGGGGTGGCAATTTCTGGCCTGGCCTGGCCTGGCCTTAGGAGTGATCATTTGTATCCTGGTCCAGACTACAAATATATACAGATGTTATACATATACGAATGTGTTATTTTACAACTTATATAATATAAAGTATAACATATATCTTATACATATATTATATGTTATATAATATAAATATTATATATTTAATATTTGATGATGATGATGTTTAAAGTCATAGGCCTGAAAGCCTGGCCCTGGCCTGGTCCATGATTACCCCTACCTAGTCTGGCCTGACCCACCCTGTTCAATTTTCCAGCCATGCCAGTGAATCCAGACACAGGTTTCACATCTAGCAGGTCCGATATACACATAATACATGCATAATCTATTAAGAATTCTTTACGTGCATTTTTTTTTGAATAGCTAAGATATTGTATTGCCATCAAAATGTAATTACACCATGGGCCTCATAGATGCCTTGGCTGCCAGCTTTGCAGAATTGAAAAAATGGAGAAAGGAAAACATCCCACCCAGCCAAAACGTTTGCAAGAACAGTGCAACACAACCTGACTGTAAAAGGGCATTGCAGAAACATATGGCTTGATGTCTCCCTATTCCATGAACAAAACACAGTCCATTGACATGCCCCTACTCTGCAATTTGTCCTGAGTCAAACACTTCCCCAAAGCTGCTTTCCAACACGAAGAATTTAAATATACAAACTCATTAACATGTACATATATAAGCACAAGCAACATAAATTTAACCAAGATATTTCTTTTCATACTCTCCCTTAATTTACCACCATACCTTAGCAACCCAGGCTCCCTAGAAAGAACTTCTCAAATTTTAATACACAACATTTACTTCAGGCAGCCTCTGTTTGTCACCACATCCAAGCTTATTGGATAAGATTTTGCCACATGGTGTCAATCCCTCCTTTTCCACACCTTCACCCAATTCATTGTACCAATGGCAGTCAATTACATTATAACTAACACAGTTCTTTTATTATCGATTCCTTATTCCTGGTATTAAAAGAACCAAAAAAATGGGCAGCAAATTAAAATTTCATTTTTCATATATTTGAGTAGAAGTTTTTCCAGACCTTTATTATTCTAGTTATCTACAAGTCTGACAAAAATAATAACAATACTACTAGCAGTTGATTTTTTAACTAATCCATGTACTTATATCAGATTCGGCTGAAATTTTTGTTGTTGGCCAAGGATTCAGGGTAGTCCCAAGGTTCTAAATATCGATACACCCAATACGCCACTAGGGGCATATTGGGCAGTATTGGTACTGTTTTTTTTTTTGTTTGTTTTTTTTTTTCAAATCCGGTTCAGGGGGGCAGTTTAAGGTTCCTCCACCCCCTGAACTGGTCAAAACCCCGATACACCCTCTGTAGGGGCATATCAGGGTGCTCCCAATGCAGGCCGATATGTAACAATTTTTTTAACCTTAGGTGGTCCTAAGGTCAAAATTTTATGGCTGCTGTATCCCCTTTGCTGTTTGTTGGGAGGTAAGGAGGGAGAGAAACAGAAGGATTTTTGAGGATAAAAAGAAAAGGGTAGAAGAGGTTGTGGTGAAAATCAGTTCTTCAGTTATTGGATGGGTGTTGCTGCTTCCAGAATTTCAAGGACTGGAGAAAGAAGACTTCGGTGCTGATTTTTCATGGACTCTGAATGCTTAAAAAGAGCCTTGGTGTTTTTGCTTTTTGTACTTTGAAGATTGCTGTTTGTTATTTACTTGTCTTGTTTCAGTTTCTGTTGGATGGAGTGACCTCTTGTTACCTGATGAAGATGTATTTGCCATTTTTAGCAATAAAATTTTATTTAAAATCCTTTTAATATGGCACAGAGTAAAGAATTAAATGTTTCAAAAATTCCTCCTTTGCACATGCTAGAACAATAATAGGGCCGTCCTTCTATTATAGACTTTGTTGTTCTTCTCTTCCAAAATTTTCCTCTTTAAACAAGTTTTCTTCTCTTGCAAACTTGCAGACCTAGATTCCTCAATATCTCCCTTACCAAGTTACCATCCGAAGCTCCCCCACCTGTTGGAGAAGGTGAAGATCATGTTTACATGCATAGACCATGTATGGCCCATGTTTACGATTTCTTGATGTGTAATGATTTATTTTACTAAATTTCGAAATACTAATATTTTATTTTTATGAAATAATTGTAGAGATTAGATTAGAATAACAAGCCTCTGATATTTCAATCTTCTGACACCTAATATCTGTATCTGAAATTGATATCTGATATCTGTACATCTTACAATTATAAGCCAGAGTGGTAACAGAAAGGAGAGTTTGTAAATAATAATATTACCTGAAGCCCAAGTCCAATTTCAATGTTCCTGGCTTCAGTTATATCTGGAATCCTGTCAGTCATCGGTAATGGATATCCCAGTACTTGCATGACTTGGGGTCTGCTTTCATAATCCCAAATGTTTCCTCGGAACCGATGCAAGCCTGGTGGAACACAAGCCCGGAAAAGTCTCGGATGTGCAAAAAGGGCATCTTCTGGAGGCTGCAAGTAAAACCATTGTTAATCCAGGAATTAAAATTTCCAATAATTCCCTAATTAAGATCTGCAACCATTTAATTATATAAGGACAGCCAAATACAAGTACCAGCATTGTTTATCTCATAAAGACCTCTCATAATCTTGCAATATTGTAACCTTCTTTGCTACACCTTCCATTTAATTAGATTGCAAACCTAGAACTTCAGACATTCTATTAAGCCCAGGAAAGTACATGGTACCATTCATTAGATTGAAATGATTCCAACCAACTGAAACTTGAGTGCAGTTGATATTGCAAACAGTGCATGGAAACCAATTCCTACCCATGAATTTAAAATTTAAGGTTTCCAGAAAATTGTCCCAGAAGAAGGAAAATTATTCAAGGTTTCCATAAAAAAAATTCAGTGGAAAACAATAAGTGAAAAGGAAAAAGATGACTTGCCTTATAGGCAACAATATCTTGCCAACTGAGTTTTTTGCTTTCAAACTCCACAGATACATAATCAACATCTTCAAGTTGTCTCCTTAATTTTGGCTGGCAGCTCTCATCATCTGGGTCCATTCCAAAGACCTCAAAAAGAACACGATATACTTCTGGCATGCCAAAACACAAGTATATTGCTCCAAACAGAGCCCAGAAGACAGACCTAACCACATATGAAGCAGTATCTTAGTAGAAAATAAAGCAGTATTTACCAGACCTAATCCAACAGTCAATAAAGGAATCCGAAATATTAGGCATTCACAGACAATTATAGAATGATAAGATCCAAAATTTGCATTCGCAAGCATATCTGTACACCTTGAGAAGATCCAAAGAGAGTTTGTTTGGAATGGTAGGAGTAATAAAAAGATATTCCACTTGGTGAAATGGAAATAGGCTACCAAGGTTCTCTCTCCTAATCATGTGGTTCCCCTGTCCTTTTCAGTTAAGGAGGTTTGGTGTTGGCTGGTGTCACCTAAAATGGGCTTTCTGTTAGGAGGTGTTCCACCAAAAAATAAATTCTTGTGATCTTTTTACAAAAAGGAGGCCTTATTTATACTCATCTCCTCATGTATGTTTTCTTTGTTTGGTAAGTGGTGATTGGAGAGTCTGCTTATCACCAATGTTTTAAAAGTTGTGGGAGGTGAGCACCTGGATGTGTACCTCAAGGCAAGGCACCCCCAAAACGCCCTAAGGCTTATGCCAGAGGTGCTGATGCCTCTGAAACATATGCCTCAGGTCCATGAGGTGCATGCCTCGTACACCTTTTGCATGAGCATGCTAGAGGCATACACCTCATATGCCTCAAGCACACCTCATACTAAAAAGGTAGAAAGAAGGAAAGGGAAAGGAAAGGGAAGGGAAAGAAAGAGAAGAGAAGAGAAGAGGAGAAAAGAAAAAGAGAGAGAGAGAGAGAGAGAGAGAGAAGAAAAAGGAAAGGAAAAAAGGAAAGAAAGTTTAGGCCACCACCCCCCAAACCCCTCCAACACCTTTTAAATGCAGCCCAATTTGTGCGAAAGGGTGATCTGCATCTTCCTTCTTAATACAAGACATCTTCCATAAAAAAAAAAAGGAGATCCTCCTTCCTCTTCCTCCTCATCTCCCTTTTCTTAAGGAGGCTTATGCCTCTATTGTTTTGAACTATGTCTCATGCTTCCACATTTTAAAGCATTGCTTATCACCTACTAATATCCTGTTCTTTTGCTACTTGGATTTGGGAAAGGCTCTTCTACTCATTCTACTTGTTTGGTTGCAGGTGCCTCCCCGCCCCCAGTTTGGAGAGTTTATTTAAGCCATCTTTCTTTTCCCTATCAAGAAAGGAGAGATACTAATGAAAGGAAGTGTACTGGGGCAGCTAGATTCTGGGATTTATGGTAGGAGAGGAACAATAGAATGTTCCTGCCTTCCTGGACAAGTCAAGGCCACAAGAAGAGATCTTGGAAAATATTATGAATATAGCAGGACACTGGGTGAAGACATTGAAGTCCTTTAACCCTTTCACATTGGATGATATCTTAAGAGGGTGGCAAAGGATGGCTGAGTCATCTAGATTAAAGATAAAGAGATCACTACAATGGATTCCGCCTTAAAATCATGCTTATGAACTAAACTTTGATATCTAAAGCTTGGGTAATCTTGGGCCTCCCAGCATTGAATGAGTAATAAAAGACTCAAAAGGAAACATTAAAGCCATGTTCTTGGGTCCAATAAGCTATGGAAACTCTATGAGAATGGAATAATTAGCAATTTTATATAGAACAAAATTGGGCAGGTCACTTAACATTCCAGCTTTGAGTATATAAGGAGATTTGGAGGTGGTAGTGGATTGGACGAAAATGATGGTAAAAGAACCTAGCATTACACAAGTATCATGAGGGAAATTAAAGCCTTACAAAAGATTTGAGTATCACATGACTCACAGATTGGCAAATGGCTTTGTTGACACTCTGGCATAGGATGGGGTTAATAGGAATCAGATGCTTTGGGGCGTCTTATGATGTTGTACAAATAAAAGAAAAAGAAGGATTGTAACTTATCTGTTGTAAACAGTGGAAAAGGACTGGTGAGAGAGGCCCCCCAGTTTGGGGCTTCTTGGCAGTTGTAATATTCAATTCACTTTCATTTAATGAAATTTTGAGTTATCAATAAAAAAAATGGAAATGGGTCCAGAAGACTCAGAATTTCAATGGGTTTGGGTTCCAAGGAATAAGAATCATGAATAAAGCCCAAGGAGCCTGTTTCTGTTCTTTGGTCACCTCTGGATGATCACTTCATTAAACTAAATTTTGATGGAAGTAGCCAAAGCAACCCAGGCCCCTCTGGAGTTGGAGGGGTATTGAAGAGTACAGATGGACACATTGTTGTGTTGTATTCAAGACCAGCAGGTTTGGGGGATTCAATTAGGGCTGAATTATTGGCAGTACTTCAAGGGGTGCAGTTAGCAAAAGAGTTGAATTTGGACAAGTTGATTATTGAAGGTGAGTCGAACATAGTGGTGGGATGGTTACAGAAGCCAGAGACTGCTACTTGGGTATATAGAGATGAAATGAAAAAATATAAATGGCTCACTAGTAACATGACAGTGAGGATACAATGGAAGAGAAGATCAGCCTCTAAACATCAAACCACCTCAAAACATCACCAGTTTTTGTGTTATTGTTGGTCTTATACATTTTTCATCTTCTTTCTATTTTTAAATCTTAGTTTGTGGATCTAAATAAGATTAAAGATTCAATTTTGCATCTATGAAACTCAGATGTCCGGGTCAAAAGTGTTTAAGACAGACACACATTCCATCATCTTACATGAATGTGGACCTAGTCTCATGATCATTAATTTCAACCAAAAGATATACATCTTCTATAAAGTTCTTGGACACATTTTTCTAGCCCAATCCTTGCCTACCACAACAAGGTTTGAAAATGAAAAGAAAATATAATGACCTTTCTTTAAACAGGTAGAGAACCAATCCAGTTAGCAGCTATCTGAAATAAGCATCATACAAGGGAAAGCAAGTTCATTGGGTCAGGAAGAAAAATCATTTGAACACAATTTTTGTTTGTATATATTGCAAAAAACCCAAAACTAATTATAATAATCAAATCAACTTTTGGTCCTCATTTGTCGATCAAGAGACATGATTTAGATATTTATATAAGTTGTCAAAAACGTCTACTTCCTAAGAGCAAAATGAAAGTAAAAAAATAATAAAATAAAAGTTGAACATAGGACTTGCTCATCAATAAAACCATCAAAACCCAAAAGAAAAAGTAAAAACGGTCTAAAATTAATCTCGTAAATCAAGTAAATATTAAATTCATTCTCAGAACCTCTAATTGAGGCTCGAAAACACAATAGAAAAATCAGCTGCCTAAATTCATCAAAACCCAAATAAAAAAAGTGCAAAATTCTAATTAAAGCAAATGGATTCAAACTGCACCTCATAAAACTGTCATAAACAACAACAGAACACAATTCACAAGCAAAAGCGAGACTTACTTCACAGGCGGCTCTCGCTCCTTCCGAACTAATTTATCCATATCATCAAATGGGAAAATCAAATTCTGTAAGCTAGCAGCTTTGACCCACTTGGGCAGATTCCTTTTTCCTATTAACCCAAACATTCTCTCCCTCATTGGAGCTGGAGACTCCCTCGGATACCTCTGCAAGAAGTACTCGGCAAGTGCCAACTCAAGCACGTATTGCCCTAGAAACCACAACCTCGAATGCCCTGACCGGACGTGCCTAGCGTTCGTCCTCTCGCATGATGGATGTTGGAAGGCCAAGTACAATAAGGTATCGAACTGTTTAGCCGGATTGTCGTCGCCGAACCGATCAGACGGCTCAAGGGGATACCCAAGAGCCTGCTTGGCTTCAAGCAGGTACTCGTCAATCCAAGTCTTGTCGGCATTGTTGAGTCTGGAGGATGGCAAACAAGAGCTCAATAAAGGGAACGCTTTCAGTGACAATTGAGGACTGTTAAGGAATCTCTCTGCTAATTTGGCGTCATCTAATGGGGGTTTGAGAATGAATCTCTTCGGGGGAACCTTTTTCTTCGGAAAGACGACCTTCTTACGCTCTTCGAGCTCCTTGAGGAGCCTTTGAGGACTGCTCCTGGGAAGTTCTTGGGGGTCTACGGCAACGGCGAAGATACGGAAATTTGGCGAAATGGGTTGTTTGAATTTTGGATTTCTAAGGTGGATTTGAAGGGGAAAAGCGGAGAAGCTGGAAGAAAAGGAAAGGTCAGGTGAAGGTGAGGCATTTGGTCTTAGGAGATGCTTGAAGGGAGAAGAGAGCTCCATAGATGGGGAGAATAGAGCTGCGGGGTCTTTATGGAAAGACGAATGGATGAGCATTTGAAACCTCGTTTTCTCAAACTACGTCTGTTTGAGTTTGGGAAGAGCTTCTTCAGTCACCATCGACGGAGGTTTTGGGTGAATTATTCTGTTGCAGGGTTTAGCAGAAGAGAGGTGGATAAGGAGGGAACGTGTAGTAGAAACTTGAAACACGCTCCAAAAATATCAGGGAGACAAGATACTTGAATGAAAGGCGATGCCTGTATGGAAAATCGTTGGATCGGAATCTTTTGTTCCGGAAAGAAAATTATTGAATGGCTCAAGCTCCACAGGACTGAAAACCGTTGGTTTACAATTGGTCCATAAGACCGTGTTTGGTTGAAAGAAAGGTATTGGTTTTCTTACCTTTTATTCCTTTCCTTACCTTTTCTTTCAAACCAAACACAGTCTTAGCTGATCAAACTAAGAAAGTTGGACCGGGTCGGCCCGAGCATTATTAAATTCAAGTGGCCTTAACCCGGCTTGTTATTACACACATTAGGGCTGGAAATTGATCGGATTTAATCTGATTTGTTTACGTGGGATATGGATATCCATTTTAGTCATGACCGAATCTAAACGTAGTCTGTTTATTAATGGGATCAAGATCCGATATTGCCTTGTTTCCTTTCCGCTGAATCTGAATCGAGCCAATTATTAGGGGTGAGAAAAAAAACCGAAAAACCGAATCAGTTTCGGTTCAGTGTTTTTAAAAAACCGAAGGTACTGATTCGGTTTCGGTTAATCAATATAGAAAATTGGCAGTTAACCGAATCGACCGGTATACATATATTTCTATATATTTTATATACACTTGTGTATATTATATATATTATATATATATTTTTATATTTTTTATATATTATAAATTAATAAATATGCATTATATATAAATATATATTTATAATATATGATATATTATTTATTATTTAAAATAGAATATTATATATATTTATAATTCTTTATTATATATTTTTATAATTTATATTGTAAAAAAATAAAAAACCGACGAACCGAACTGACGGTTAATTGAACCGATCAACTGGTTAACCGATAGGTTTCGGTTCCTAGTTTTCAAAAAACCGATACTACCGGTTCGGTTACAAAAAGTGCCCCACGGTTTGGTTAAATGGGAAAATCTACATAAATACAAGGGTCCATTTGGTTGGACGGAATCGAGTCTCATTTTCCAGGTGATCCCTCTCCCTCCCTTGGGAATGAGAATCTATTCAAATTGATTCCAATTCTTGTCTATATAGGTGGAAAGAATAGATTATTTTGATTTTGATTCCGATTCTAACTACAAACCAAATGGACCGTAAGTTGGATTTGTGATTTATGTAAATTTATTTTTTATTTATAATATATTTTTTACAAGTTTTTAAAAGGCTAAAGGTGTAGTTGAGGTGTAATGGCCCAAAAAGGTGAGGCATAAGCCTCAAGGTGTTGCGAGGCGTAAGTCTCAAAGTTAAAAAAAAAAATAATTAAAGCTTGTAAATGATAAAAATAAGATGTAATATACCAAGTTAAAATGATGGAAGGTACAAATATCTATAAAATAGAAGTTTATAATTAAGCATTAAATAAAATAATAACTAATCATTTAACGATTATAAGCATTATACATTTTATGTTTTAAAATGCAACCTTATAAAATTATTCTTATGGACATTAAGAGTTATGGTCATCCAACAATTGGGAAGAAAAGAAACAATTTAGTTGATTTGATCTATGCAAAAAATCAATAAGAAGAAAAATAAATCTATTAAGAAAAGAAATGAGAAAAATAACAAACTTGGGATGTTAAATAAGAATATTAAGAAAAAAAAAATCTACTTGATTTATACAAGAGAAACTAATAACTTGATTTACCCTTTTTTTTTTGCATTAAACTCTCTTAGGCTAAAATACTAAAAGAAACTAATACAACTTGATTTGCCCTTTGGTTTTTCATTTTTATTCCTTTTTATTTGGCCCATAATTATTGAAGTGCTTTTTCTATATATTTGAACTATAAAAATATGTATTTTTTGCATAAAATCACTAAATAATGCTTTGCACTTGAGGCTTATGCCTCATTCTGACAAAGGCTTAAGCCTTAAACCAAAATTGTGAGGCAAAATCTATGTACCCTGCCTCTAGGTGTCTAAACCAATACTCTATTATGTATACATTGTATATTTCTTGATGTATACAAGTACTCTACATAAGAGCTTGACGTGCCATCCAATCCACTCCTTCGTTTGCCTCCCTGAAAGAATTAATGAACGTAAGAAATGCCACGAACCAGATTGCCTGCAAGCTTCAAGCACTTTTCGATGATGGTCATTAGTCTCCATAAGACCTCGGTCAGCTTCCTCAAGCAACAGATGACGACAAGAGAGTTTCTTCCAATGCAGATGGGAGAATTCCTAAAATTGGGCCACATTATGAGCTCCCGAAGTGGCCCAAGCTTTAGCTACATTTCATAGTGGTGGTGTTAATATAATAGGCTTTGGCTTCTAATATTTTCCCACTATGGTTTCTAGTGATGCATGCTATAGAACTGAGGTCATAGTCATATAATCTTTGCCAACTAGGTGGAGCTGAGGAATTAACCCCGAGTAGGTACTCTGACGCTCAAGTCAGTAGAAAGTAGTGGGCGGTCAGGCCGAGTAGTTAGAGAACGGTGTTGGTCCGAGAAGAGTAATAATATGTGAGTCAAAAGTTGGATCATTTACCTTGAGTGGGATGTACCTTTTTATAACCGATGATCCGTGTCCTGATCGGATGAGGCTTTTGGGGTTGTCGGGATGAGGTTACCTGCCGAGGTCTTTGGGATAAGACCTAATCTCTAGCGAAGTTGTCCCCATCCGTGTGATGATCTCCTATCTTGGTCGCGCTTATTCTCATGATGCGGTGCCGACGTGGCTGAGGAGATAAACTGGGCTATGAAGGTGACACGTGGCATCCGAAGCCAACTCAATCATAACCTGAACGATCCCCACCACTATTTTTTGGAACATCAAAGTTAATTTTAATTGAGCCATACTTGGGGGATTTCTAGAGAACATGTCTCCAATTTTTAATGACATCCAAAGTGGTTATAACTAGGGGTAACAACGGTATTCGAAAATCCGATTTTGAATTCGATATTCGACATAATAGAATCAAATTCGGATAATTTGAATATATAATCGGTCGAATTCGGATATCCTATTCTTACTGAATAGTTAATTGGATTCGAATTCGGATATGACCTGATTCAATTCGATAAATATCCGAATTCGATCAATTATTTAATTCTTATATATAATATATAAAATATTTTATATATAATAATTAAGTTATATAAATAATTTATATATTTATATACTTTATATCAATAAAATAATTATTTTATATATTTATTAATTATCTAAAATAACTAATTAATCAAATTCGAATGGAATCAGATATTCAAATATTTAATTGGATTTGAATTCGAATATTAATTTTCAATATCCGTCAAATATCGGATTTTCTAATCGGATTCGAATTCAGATATCGAATTTTCTAATCGAATTCGAATTCGATCCGTTTATAACCCTAGATAGAACTTTATTCTCAAAGACTATCTATGAACTATGATGCCAAAAATGAGCTTGTAGCTTTTTAATTCCTTTTAACAAAAAAATAAAAAGGCTATCTGTGATGTCGGAAAGGTATGATAGGGAAGAACTTTGACCGATCGATCCACCAGTAAATTTTGATGAATTACTAGCTAATTGGTTGCCACTTTTATAATACCAGTTGATTGATTATCAGTGTTTTAGGTATCATGCCCTTCTGTGTCATAGCTAGACATAAAATGATAAAACATCATGATAGCAAATACCCCCTACAAGCTTTAGAATCCAATTATGGGACTAAAACAATACCCTAGAATTGGAAAAACTTTGAATGTTTAGTAAATTCTTCCACATGAGACATTATCATGGATGTAGGACACATGACACAAATTTCTTAAGGCTTAGTTTGTATTTGTACTCTTTCCTACATACTGCTCATGTAAATTTCTCCATACTAATTCTCTCTTATTATCAATAAAAGAGTTCCAATGTGTTTTAATTGGCTATCCCACATCTCAATCTACCAAACATGAGAATAGCAACTCTTTTCATTTCTTCACCCATAAGATATGATATTGGGACCCACCAATTTAATAACTAAAAATATTAATATTTAAATAAAACTAGAAAAAAACTGAACAAAAATTCAAAATTCTTATTGTTCAACTCTCCTGCAAATCATTTAGTACCAGTAAAGAGGCAATAAAAGGTTTCCATTTAAAGATATTTTTAAATTCATTTATTTTAAATCTTTTATTGGAGGGTTCTTTAGAACCCCGATTAGGTGTCTAAACCAGTACTCTATTATGTATACATTTTATACATCAACAAAGTGCAATTTTGTTGCTGTTGGGGCAGAGGAAGCATGAGCTCTTTTTTTACTAAGACTTGAATTGCCCTATTTATACGCAAAGGTTTCTTCCAAGCTACTATAAGCATTAACTCCCTAGTCCCTACATAAATTCTCATGGGAGTCCAAGACTCAAACACATGCATCTCTTAATCTTTTGACTCTTCAACTCCTCACTTCCTAGTTTAATTCCCACATTCATAATTGACCTTCATCAATTATAAATTAATATTCAACATCCCCCTTAATTTAATTTTACAAATTCCTAACATTTTTTGAAATTGAATGAATTTCTCATAACTGAGTGTCTTTATATAAAATACAAATTGAATGAATTGAATGAATTCCTAAAACTGAATTAAAAAAATACAAATTAAATATAAAATATTTCATATATTATATATAAAACATAATTATATATATATATATATATATATATATATATATACAAACATACATACCGGGTCGGTTTTACACTAATATATCCTTCTTCCACAAGTTCTCTAATGAAATGTTATGTGCTTTGAGCGGTTGTGAAATACTAAATTCTTTGTCACCGTAATGATTGACTTGTTACCATAGAGAATGGTGGTTAGATCTATTTGCTCGAAATGAAAATAATATATATTTGAGGATTCTTCTTAACTATGTGTAGCTTTACATGCCGCACTCGTCGCTGAACACATACTTGGCCTTAGTTGATGACAATGCTGATAATGTACACCTAGCATCATGAACACCATACAATGCTTTACAATGTCTGAACCACATATTCAAATGTTTCGTTACTTAAACTACCTCTCTATTTGTTCATATTTTGACATCTGTACACTGTATCTTGAATATTAACTGTCATACAACAATGTTATAAATAAATTCAACGATCAACCCAAGACAACAGGGGTGATCTTGTCAAATTGTTCTTTGTCCTGTTTCATTCAATTACACTGCAAACTCTGATCCTAAAAGTGTGTTTCTTTTGTTTAAAATGATAGGTCAAGTTATACTCACTCTCAAACTACTGATTCATCATCTCCTATTGCTAATACTACAAACTATACCAACACTGGCCCATCATCTTCATCCTTAGTCATTTCTAACATCACCAATATTCAGTGGACATCATCTTATGTCCTTCATTGATGATGGATCAAGACTTGCTCCTGCTAAGGATGATCCATCTTTCACTTCATGGTATGAAAGTATGAAACTGATCAAATGTTATTGTCATGGATCCAAGCCACACTCTCAACTTCTACCCTTCCATATATGGTGGGTGTGAAGTGCTCCAAGGAAGCTTGGGAGGCTTTAGAGCGATGTTATGCCTCCTCTATTCCCATGCACTTTACAGCCCTTCGAAGGCAACTTTATCGTCTGAAAAAAGGTCCACTATCCATGCAAGATTATCTCCAGAAGATTAAGGTCATTAGTGACCAATTGGCAACCTGTGGTTCCCCAATTTCTGATGATGAACTTCAGATTTACATCCTTGATGGATTACTAGCGTCACATCGTCCCTTTGCTTCAGCTATTAGGGGACATTCTTGTACCAATATTGTTACTCTTGAAGAACTTCATGATTTGTTAATTTGTGAAGAAATCTCTTTAGTAGAGGAACTATCTCCTGATACCAACTGCTTTTATTGCCACTAAATCACAAACTTCCCACCAAAAACTTGTAGCCCTTTCTCATAAAGAACCATTCAACTTAAAAGCTTAAGCTGCTAGGTGAAGTCATTGAATAGGTTTTATTCTATAACATGCCCCCTCATACGAAAGTCCATTGGGCTTGAAGTGTGGACAGCACAGTCACACCTATACCTTGTGCTGGAACTTAGTTAATTATGTTATAATGGGATGACGAGAATCGAACACTAGATCACTTGGTTAAAGTGGCTTGGTACCATTTTAAAGAACCATTCAACCTAAAAGCTTAAGCTGTTAAGTGAAGTCCTTGAATATGTTATATTCTCTAACTCTTTCAATTATCGCATTCCTAATGATGGAAAATGTCCTGTGCAACAGCATTTAGTACGACAAGGTAACTCCTTTGGTTCTCCTCAACCTCGTATTGTACAACCTGATGTGGACCGCATCCAAATTCTTGACCAACGTGTCAAATTTGTAATAAAGTTGGCCATACTGCGATTTGATTGTTCCCAGAGGGTCAGCTAGGGGTGTAAACGGATCGAATTCGAATAGGATCAGGCACTATCCGAATTCAATTCGATATTCGTCGGATATTGAAAATTAATATTCGAATTCAAATCTGATTAAATATTCGAATATCCAATTCGATTAATTAATTATTTTATATATTATATAAGAATTAAATAATCGGTTGAATTCGGATATTTATCGAATTGGAACTGGTCATATCCGAATTCAACCGATTAAATATTCGAATTATCTGAATTCGATTCAATTATGTCGAATATCGAATATCGAATTCGAAATCGGATTTTCAAATACTGTTAACACCCCTAGGGTCGGCATCCACCTGAAAAACTTCTTGCAATGGCTACTACGACACAAGGGACTGCTAATGATACTACTTGGTATACAGATTCAGGAGCTTCTCACCATATTACTCCTGATCTTGGTAATCTTCATAGCCATTATTCCTATTCATGTACTGAACATGTAACAATAGGAAATGGACATGGGCTTGGTATCAAGAATGTAGGCTCCACCATGGTTCACACCCCTAATACGAACTTTCACCTCCATCATCTCCTACACTGTCCTAAAGCTTCCTCTAATCTTCTTTCTGTTTGTAAATTTACTAAAGATAATAATTGTAATATTTGTTTTTGATGCTAATGGTTTCCTTGCGAAGGACAAGACGATAGAAAAGATCCTACATCAAGTACCGATTGAGGGTGGACTCTATTCCTTCAAGACTCTCCCAACTTCAATTCACAACCTTCCGCTCTTGCAACAACTCTTCCGTGTGACATTTGGCACCACTGCCTTGGCCATCCTTCAAGAGACATTCAAGCCATAGTTTTTCATTCTTTATCACTGAAACCATCTCATCACAGTGGTTTATGTTCATCATGTCAGTAAGGCAAAAGTTCTAAATTACCTTTATCTCGTTCTAGTTCATGTACTAAGCAATCTTTAGAACTTATTCATTGTGACCTTTGGGGACCTTCCCCTGTATTGTCAGTCTCTGGCTTTCGTTATTATGCCTTGTTTGTTGATGATTTTGCATGATATGGCTGGTTGTTTCCATTACATTTTAAATCCGAAGTTGAAAATTTGCTTGACTTCAAAATTAAAACTCTTAGGACTGATGGTGTTGGTGAATTCTCCAGAACTCCCTTTCTTAATTTTCTTAATACACATGGAATTTCCGCCAACCTTCATGTCCACACACACCTAAAGTTGTAACGGAAACACTGACACATAGTTGAAACCGGATTAACCTTGCTTGCGCATTCTTCCCTACCAACAAAATTTTGGTTGGAAGCCTTCCAAACCTCATTCTTCCCTGCTTGATCATTTCTTGAAAAGTTTTGTATTCAATGCCATGGGGCTGTTTGCATGCTTGCAATTTGACATATTGAATGTATTCTGCAAATCATCTGCATATTTTTCTTTGACTTATATAAAATCTTGCATTCTTCATGATAAAAAATTACTGAATAACCTTTCTTCATAAGTTGGCCCACACATAGTTCACCACAAAGCTATTGCGCCTCATATATAAAAGGCACACATTACCCCTTTTTTCAACTAAAGGCAAAAAACAATAGCTCACTTAGGTGGAGGCAAACCATAGAAGTTCTAAAAGAACTTCAGCCTAATTTTCTTTGGATTATTAAGGATGGAACGTCAGTAGATGCTCTAAAGGAGCCATGGATACCAACAATCCCAAGCGGCATAAAATTAACAGATCAGCAATGTTAGTAAATTTTTGAGATCTAATGAACACAAATGATACTTGGAATATGGAGAAGATACAAGAACTGTTTCAGCCATAGGTGATTAAGCATATTGCACAATTGAAACCTAATAGATCATTATTAGCAGACAAACTAATTTGGAAGAGGTCAAATTCAGGTAGCATATTATCTGGAAGACCAAAGTTTCTTATCGTTCCAATTTTTTACTTGGAAAGCTTCATGGGCTGAGCTGTTCTCACATAAAAGTAAAACTAGCAGGTGGAGCAAAAAAGAGGATACAATTTGTGTTTTATGTGGTTCACGGGAAAAAGTATTTAATCATTTATTTTTCTCCTGTTCTTTTGTTTGAGCAATTTAGTGTCAAATTTAGCTGGGTATAAACCGAGAGACAATTGGAAATAAATTGCATTGTTTATCGAACCTCTAGCTTCTTTTTTTTTTTTTTTTCATTGGGCTACACAACCAGGGGTAGCCCATCCTCGAATCCCATAACCACCCAACTTTACAACTTCATTGTGATCTTTACTTTAGAAAGTAGACCATGCTACAGTTAATTCTAGTATTAGAATTGATTTACAGTTGTCCAGGAATATAGCAATTGTAATCAAGCATTTTTTTTCTTTTGAGAAGAGTTATCATGCATAATAACTGGGATAGGGGTGGACAACTTCATTTCATAGAGAAACTACCAAAAAGGAGTCTGCAGGCTCAATAGACGGCATATTAGCTTCACGCATTAGGGCCGAGTTAGAAATGGTTTGAAAGTCAGGACCACTTCAACTGCAGTAATTACATTTAGTATGAAGAAAACTATCTGATCACCTGCATTTAAGTGAGCCAACTACAATCAGTCTTTTATTAGGAAAAACCAAAACTTTGCACACTTTGAAACAAAATTGGAAATATAGATGGCCAGATTTCACGGTTAGTAGCTTTTCTTCAAAGCTAGAACCCGTCATGAGATCTATTGACGATAAATGGAATCAAAAGCAATCTCTATCAAAGATAAATTATAAAATGGTATTTTGAAAGTTGATGAGAAGCGTATCATTATTAGTGAGGATCCTATGTGCAAGGCAATTGGGAGGAAGGTATACGAGAGTATATATTGTGCCATTACTCTTCTAGTTTTTTTCCCATAAATTCTACAACACAAAAAACATGTTTTATGATGCTGATACTGTAAAAACACTATAGACTACAAATATTGCACATCAAGATTGTAAATCTTGTATACAATGATCTTACGGTGTAACATTTACAGCCAAGTTAGCAAAATTTACTGCATATGGTGCTTCTATGGTACCAGTAACACAGGGTATATTTTGTATTGTAGAATTATTCTATATTTTCTCTTCTTGTAAGGGCATGATGTAGGACAGATAGGGGTTTTATAAATTTCGGTATGGTAATGGGGCTTTGTAGGGTAGACGAGGATGGACTTAGGGTGATTAAGGATGAAGAATATGGATGTCAAAGAAAGTAGACAACTTGTTGTCTATCAAAGAATGAGGAATAAATTAGAAAGAGACAGAGAACACTTGCTCTTAGAGACTATAACGAAGAATAAGGAATAAATTAGAAAGTAGACAACCAATTATCATATGATCAAGTTAAACTTTTCTCCAAGCTCAACATTAAGTATATAAAAAAAGTTCTTCAAAATTCATTATCAACCAATAACATTCAACAAGAACCAACATTACATAGAATCCTTCCATATAAAAGAACAGAACAAAATAGTGTAAGTCAAAAAATAAATAAAACTAAGTTTGTAATTCTAAAGAACCAAAAATCCAACAAACCCAAAAGTTACCCATCAATAGGTCTTGGACTCTTGGTCTTAACTGTTAAACCTTAAGGGTAAATGAGTAAACAAATAAACAAATAAACAAATAAACATGAAGGTTGAAGGACTGAAACTAGACTTAAAAAAAATTCTTAAAGTCCTAATTGCTAAAACCATTACGTATTTAAAGGGTATGTTGGTGATTTGGTCTATCTATATTTAATATGATATATATTTTTTATCAAAGATACATCCATACTAATATATGTATATGTATATATACAATATATAATATATAATATTAATATATATATATATATATATATATATATAATATTAAGAGCTATGTAATATATATCATGTTCTAATATATTGTAATATTAAAAGTTATGTAATATATGTCATGTTCTAATATATTGTAATTCACAATAACAGTATAACATAATACCATATATTATAATATGTAATACATATGAGACTTACGTCATACAAGAAAACTCTATTAAATCTTTCTAAATTCTAGTAATGTTCACATCAAAAACTGAAAAAATGAACTAAAACCAAGGAAATCAAACTGAAAAGTCCTTTTGGTTTTGATTAACCTATAAAAAATTGATTGTCAATTGAACTGACTGGTACATATATATTTTTAATATGTATCATGTATTTATACATTCATCTATAATATATATTATAAATATAAAAAACCAAAGAAGCAAACCGATAAAAAACTGAACCAATCAATTAGTTAACCAATTAGTTTGGTTTGGTTTTGGTTCTCAATATTATAAAAATCGAAGGATTGTTTGGGTTTCAACAATTTGCCCATGGTTTGGTCAACCCATCTATTTGCACCCCTACCAAATTCTAAAGCAATTGTTTTCTTTCTTTTTTCCTTTTAATTTTGACATCATAAGGTATTTGGGGCTTGGGAATGAGGGTAGCCTATGCTCGTACCCCCATATCAAATAGGGTCATATAACCCCCAACCCTATCCCTCGTGAGAGTCGAATTTGATCCAATGCACTTAAGAGTTAAAATTATCATTTCAAATTGAGTTTCAATTTTGAATTTTGACAAATAGATACCATTTGCAATCTTAATTATGATAATACAATTTAAAAAATAACTATAAATATTTAAAAATTATTAACAAGTATATCACCTAAAAATAATGCTTGGATTGGACTTGAATTTACCTAGACTAATTGAGTATTAATCTAAATTCTGACAAATAGATAGCATTTGCGAAATTGCAATCCCAAATTCTAATAAAATTAATTTAAAGTCCATTTGAATTTACAAATAATTACACCAATAAATTTTTAAAATTAATTGATAAAAAATATTTCACCTAGAAATATTGCTTGAATGGACTTAACCCAAACCAATTGATTCTTAATTTGAATTTAGAAAAATAGATACTATTTGTATTTTGCAATTTTAAATCCTAATTATATTAATTTAAAATCCATTTAAATTTAATAATAATTGTGTGAATAAAATTTTTAAAATTAACTAATAAAAATTTAAATTTCATAGACAAGCAACTAACCTAAAAGTATTGCTTGGATTGTACTTGAACCTAACCAGATGCCCCAAACTTGTAAATTAACAAATTAGGAATGTCATAGGCCATAGGGCTCCTCATAGCTTCTACTTAATTAATTTCTCTTAATATTATATATTATAATTAATTTTGTACTATATATTATACCATACTACATATTTTATTTCTTATATATATAACCAGGTTTATAGTAGAGTATTGGGAACATGTACCCATGTAAAATAAAACTGGTATTGGGTATTGGATACCCTAAAGTCAAAACCCAAAACCGTCCCAAACCCTATAGGGTTTTTGTTATGGGCCTGGGAATAGGATCTCGTCACGGGTCGGTCCACGGGGAAAAGCTCCTGTTTTCCCTTGTTCCTCCCCTTCCTAGCTGAACCTATCTTGGCGTCCTAGAGGGTGATTTGTCCAAGAGATCACCGAACTCTCCTTTTACTCTCTTTCTTGACTGGAAATTTGATATCTT